AATGACTGCAAATTACAAATTCCACATGCCTTATCCTAGTCTGATCTGGTCACGGATTCCTAAGACAAGCAAAGCTTCCAATGTTGACCGTTTCCCTGGGCAAAAACAGTCCACTTATCTATTTCATTCTGCAACTCCCTACATCTCCTGACATACACACGTGAAGATGTCTGAACATGCAGACATACACATCCGCATGTTCATGGGTCTTTGCCAGCTTGAGTAGTTAGTTGTGTCTGAATGAGGATGATGTGTTGGCCTCTTCGATGTCAAGGGCGCGTCCAACCTTTATATGACTGGCTGACGGCTTAAAGTACTAGCCCCCAACAGAGAGAAAGATGTTATTCTCCTCAATATAAGAAGAATATTGGGGGCGCCGAAAGTTCGATCCACCCGGAGATCACAGCCCAAGTTTCGTGCAAGTAGCAACACGACATACCCCTCTTCCCCAGAAGACTCCTCCACAAGGGTCCCCAGGCCTCCTCCGGAACTAAGAAGTGTCATATTACAAAAAATAAGTAATTTGCACCGCTAACCTGGCCAACGGAGATGACTCTTTCAGGACCTCCGCTCCTCCGCAAGACCCGTCTAACACATGGTCCCTCACATGTAGGTCGGTAGCTCGAAACCTTTCGTTGCAGCGATGTATACCCTTGCTTATTCAGACACCAAGTAGATGTATAATCCGGGTTTCCATATGTGACTCTCGATGATGGCCTCATTCCCCCTGCAACCCTGTATATGGTCATCCCTGACTCCTGGGGCGGCTCGATAACCGGAGTCACCGGTGCCACTGGCGCTGTAGGGACCTCCGCCGGAATCTCGGCGGGAGTCTCTGCTGGGGTCTCTGCCGGAATCTCTGCCGGAGTCTCTGCCGGGGTCTCCGCCGGGGTCTCCGCCGGGGTCTCCTGAACAACAAGCATAGCGTAGGGGGAGCAATGCCCGGAATGCTTAGACTGACAAGGGCCTTGAGGTAGCCCACCGCAGCCACACAAGAAATATGACCGCGTAATGTTTTTTTGTTGCAAGGCTTCTACCTCAGCCTTTTTATGGAGCGTGGAGGAAGGTTCTGTCCAAATTCTGTCCTCCTTACCCTAAGGGGGATATGAAATAACTCCATGTTGGGGACTACAGCATCGCATGGCCCATTTCTGAAGGAAACCATAGAACATCAGATGGCTCCTCCCACATACGTGTCATGACTGTCTGTGGGCTTAAGTGGGCCGCATCCCTTAACTCGAATGGTCGGAGGGACCCCTGGCATTCAGAAAACCTATTGAGGCGATTAACATGAAGGAGGCAAAGAAGCTCGTGGGATGCCTCTGACGTAGAAAATGAAGCTTTCCCAAAATCAGGGCTGCCATTTTGGGAATCCCATGATGACTATAATTCATAACATATTGGGTTCTAAACCGGGGTCCCCCCTTTGTTGGGAAACTACCTCGTTGCGAGTAGCGCGTACATGCCTCGACGTACGTATATATACACACAAACGCACGAAGACTTTGCTTGAAGATATGCTTAGAGTGTATGAGGGCATCTGCCAGGATGGACGAGCAAAGATCCCCTCCCTGGCCGCTTTTAAGCCCAAGAAGAAGTGTACCACAAAATCAGGTCTGATAGCTACAAAACTGAAGCTTTCAAGCCCTAAACCTCTACTTGAACCTAAGCCGTGAATCCCAAAATCTGAGGTATCCCAATCTCTAAGCACCAAACCTCAAAACTCAGGCCTAGCCCCAATGTCAAATCCTGAGCCCCGTCCCGGAACCCCAAACACTAGACTCACGAGATCCTCTAAGAAGACATGAGAGACTATACAGGGACACTTACCGAGACTATCTGGGGGTGCTTGCCGGGTTTTGATGAGACTTGTTCTGGCTGTCTGCGGTCCTCCTGGCCAGCAACCGCGGTGAGGACGAACAAGCTGATGAGGATACGAAGCATGGCGAAAGGCTCCGGCTTGGACGCGGGCAATCGGGAGACTCTTTGAGCTCAAAAGAGGCTGCGGCTTACAGGTTATTAGCAAGGGATGGAGGAATCGATTGTTATTCTAACCCGTCTAAAAGTTAAATCCCAAATGCTTTTCATTGTCCATCTTCTGGTTCATTCCCGTATTCCCTACTAACACCTTGCAAGGAAGGTTTTCAAAGGGCTTAAGTCCGGTTCTGCCTCGCTGAGTAAAACTGGATAAAAAAGGGGGGACCTCATCATAAGTACCATTGCCTTAAACTCTACACGCTAAACCCTAAACCTCAACATAAGTACCATTGCCCCCAGAGTCACTTGCAGCTTGGTAGGTTGGGGGATGCCTACGCTGCATGGTTGGAAGGGTGAGTGTCTAGCATCCCATGAGGTTCAAAGTTGAAGGTTGGGGGTGTACTGTAGGGCCCTAGACCATTACGAATATCATGTTGTGGTCTACTTGAGGGAGACATGATGATACAAGGAATCTAGAACCATAAGTTGATACTGGAAACTGTTAGCAGGGTTTGGGGCTTGGGTGTGGGGCGGGTGGCCTTCAAACCCAAACTGGAAGGCTCTTTGATGAATAAACTTCTGTTGGCATTGGAGGGGTTGCGTTGCAGTTAGGGCATCCGCACAAGAAATACCTGGCCCACCCGAGCCTGCAACCTATAAAACAAAAAAATCGAGGCATTATAAGGAATATAAAGGGATTCAAGGTAATAAACATTGCTGGGTCTCTGTATTCTCAAACCTACCCGTCAATAAGTCAAGTTAACTTATCTTCCACGCCTTGGCTGGCGCGCCGCAAAAGCAGCTGCAGCAGTCGCTGGGGGCAGAGAACTCCCATCCAGCAGGCACCTTACATGGGGCGGGGGGGTTGCGGGGTGCCAGCGGCTGAGAAGTGTAGTGGTATGCTGCATAGCTCCTTGCATATAATAAGAGGATGTTGGTAACATCTCTGGGGGGAGGGTAGATCTGGCTTGCTTCTCGCAAGTGGGAAGGAAGGAATGAAAGTCTTATAGGTTAAGGGCTATGGCTCCTTCCAAGATTCACTGGTGACAAACAAGAGCCAGGAGGACAATCTTGAAACTCAACTTGCTGCATCCGACTTAAACAGGCATGCCTGGCATGCCAGGCTAGGCAACACACTGCCGGGCAAGGATAGATCCTATAACACCCCTGGACAGGACAGATCCCCTTACTAGGGTAGGTTGTGGGCTCTATAAAACTGAAGTTTTATGGCTTCATAAAGACTTATATAGGGATCAAGGGTAAACATGTTTTCTAAAAAACATGTTCAAACCTACCCATGCCAAGAACGACCAGTAGAAGCGAATTACCGGGACGGGGCTTTCTTTTAAATATGTCCTCTCTGGGGGCCCTAGGAATCTACCTACCTGAGCAATGTACTTCGACTTCCTACTCATGAGTATCATCAGCAAAGTGTCGCGGGGATTGATGAGAAACGTGCGTCCCAAACGACAAGGTTTCGAAAGATTGAACTCTAAACCCATAAGCCCTGATTCTCAAGGCCGAAACCCCCATGTAAAAAGCCTACTTTCTACACCCGTCCTTGAGGTTTGGGACTCCAAGGCTTAGGATCCAGGTATGGAGATTTCCCACGCGTTTCTTTCAGCCCTATTGGATTATTGTTTTGTAGTAATGTTGAAAATCATGACTGCGTGTTCCGTGTTAAATGGGTCGTCGTATGATGGAATGTCCATCACCCTGGGGCTCCAAATATGTATATATATATACATATATTTATGTATAAATAATACCTACGTTGGGCCATAAAGTCTGCAAAATTTACCTATACATTCAGCTTTCTGGATCTCTTAGGGTCATATTTCAAAAAAGCTGACTCCGGCTTGCTATATGGAAGTCCAGGCGCGCATCCTTAGAGGAGTTGGCTCAGCAGATTCCATGGCTCAATGAAAAACAGTAGTAAGAGTAGTAATAATTGTAATGACAGTAAGAATAATAAATATATACCCTAATACCCTAATAATCCCTATATAACCCCTATATACTATAGTAGTTTCCATTTTCTTTTCCATTATCCCAATAACCCCAATATACTATAGTGATACTAATGAAGTCGTAATTTGGATCCGCAGGGCTCGGTATCAGGCTCTGGTATGGACCACCCTCTTTGTTGAGATGCTTCACCAACAGGAATGCATCAAGATGTGTGGCCATTTCTGCGGCGCGTAATGGTCGTGGTCCGTGAGCTGCACAACAGACGCTTGGCGAATGTCTATGCGCAGACCACAGTGAAATTCAATACTGCGCTGTTGCTAAGAAGCCGTGGATTAAGCGGTAAGCACTTGTGTCCCTACTTTGCCTCTGTTGCATCTTGCCATGTGCTTCCTCCTTGAAGCAGCTAGGACCCTTACCGGCATCTCAGCGTAAAGGATCGCCAAGGTTCGGAGTTTGCGCTTCTGGTCCAACTTAAAGAATATATACCCTAATACCCTAACAATCCCTATATAACCCCTATGTACTATAGTAGTTTCCATTTTCTTTTCCATTATCCCAATAACCCCAATATATCCCCTTGGGTGGGGGGGGCAACTCGGCTTGTCGGCTTCCGACTCTCCACTGGGTTGAAATTGAGGAATTTGAATCACTGCACCTTGGATCTGATAGCGCTCAGATTACCAACACCCACCCAAGGGGATATATTGGGGTTATTGGGATAATGGAAAAGAAAATGGAAACTACTATAGTATATAGGGGTTATATAGGGATTATTAGGGTATATATTGGGGACGTTACAGTGTAAAGAGACTTCGCGTTTTCGGCTCAGAAACTACCCCGGAAGCATGCTTGTCTGACCCTACTCGGCTTGGCATGTAGGGGAAGCAGAACCTGAAGGCAGCCCGAAGGATCCAGGTGCTCAACGATCATATGCTTCCTCTCTAAAGTCTTAAGGCAACAGGCCCAAGTAACCAATTATTGCGTACATGGACCCCCAGTCTAGGGCTACCCAAACCTTTCCTGCATGATCAAAGAAGCTTCAAACTTCGTGCCTCGTCAGCGCAATGAGGCCAGTCTTGCTTGTAGAGTACCTGCGTGACTTTTAAGACGAAACTTGTGCGTTTGCCTTGCAAGTGGCATGGCCCAGAACAGTCTGGCCATCCTCGCACAATCGTTTCTTGCGGGGTAAGCATTTGATTGCTGCAATCTGGCCAACTTTTGGTATCTGGAGGCACGCTCCAACCGAAGCTGATCTACGGACACTTTTGCTAATACTGCCTTGTCTGAACCTACGAGTATTCGAGCTCTCGGTAAGTTCTGATTCGTTGCGGCTTCCTACTGCCAAGGCCAATGCCGCAGTAACTGCCGCTGTGGCGGGTGCTCCTCGGCCGCCTACTCCTCATCAACCACGGCAACGGATACAGCTTCCTTTACCTCCCAGATCTGCTATCCACTGCGTACAACTTAGCCATCGCTACCCCGAGCACGAGTAGGTGTTCGCTGGAGGTGTTCGCATGCCGTCGATGCTGCCTCAGGAAGCCGCTTGATCAGCCTAGCCCCCCGGCAATACTGATTGTTGAGTTCCTCACTCTGGGAAGCGGGAAGTGGTGCTCACAGTGGCCTTTTTCACGCAACCGGCCCCACTGTACATCAAGGGTGCCGCTTTTGGACCCCAAACGCAGTCGAGCAAGACTCTGCACTTGAAGCTTGCGCTGGACTTTGGAGTGATGGAGGCTGACCTCGGATTGCTCTGTCACAGGTCCAGCCCAGCCGGAACAGCCTCAGTAACAGGTTGGTTGGTCGGTTCTGTCACCCGGAATCAACAGAATCACATGACTCCTCTTCATCTAAGCTGGTCATGGGCTCACATATTCACACCTGCCGCTGACACAGGCATTCCCCGCATCCCATTTTGGCACAGTATGCACAATTTTTTTCAGAATCTGGGGATGGTCTACACCAATCAAAGGTGGTGGGAGCGATAACCCTCTTAGCACCCTCTTCAGCCCCAAACTGATGACCTCTAAGGGGAAGCTGACAAAAACCAGCAATGCAGCCTCCCATTGCCAGCATGCTTTTAAATCGGTGTAGCGCTGGGCTTCCTGCATAGCTAGGCTCTTCTATAAGTTACAATCGGAAGGGACCAGCTAATATGCAGACAAACCCTTCATGTACTGATAAAGCTACTGCAGCTAGAGCATACCGCAAAGCCCCGCTCCTAAACATCTGTCCCACATCACAAAGAAGAACCAAAGACAAGCGACTTCGTTCCCCAATCCAGGCCTGGCTGGTTGCACACCAGCCGGGGCAATGTAGCCGCCTTCCTGCTGCACTAACGCACCGGCGGTTTGCCCATGCGGGAAATTCTGCTGTTACTACTGCTACTCTGACTTTTATGATGACGATGATGGTGCTGACGATGATGATGATGATGATGACAACTCTCTCTCTCTCTCTCTCTCTCTATCTCCCTCCCTCTCCGGCAGACTCAGTTGCCTGTCAGCCACAGTGCTTATTCTCCGAACAGAGCCAATAGCAAAATCTTGCATGGACTGTACAAAACGCAAACGCTACACAACTGATGACGATGACCTCGACAGAACAACGCCACTACCCGCGGCAGCCACAAAACACCAACTGCAAAGCACAAACCAGCACCGACACTGTGGACGACGGTGAGGGTGAGGATAGGGAGGACAGGGAGTAGAAGCAGGAGCTGGGGCAGTAGCAGCAGTAGCAGCAGCTGCAGCCATAACATACTTCCAAGGAGAGAATAATGTGAAGGATCCGTGTGCGTGTGCTAGCTATCAAAAGTGTCTCAATCCGTGCACCTTTTGAGCTCTCTTGTCATCCTACACATAGGGCCCTAAAGGCGAAAAACCCTGGAACCCTTAAATCCTCAACCCTAGGAGCTCCTGTCTTAGCTGCACTTGCCCCGGAGGAATCTCTGTGGGCGGGAGCAGCTCTTTTATCTTCTCCTAGCAAAGGCTGGATCCTCTGATTGTGGTCTGTGGCAGACAGGGCTTAGGCTTCAGGACCTTTTGCTTCAGAATTTTGGTCCTAAGCCCTAAACCCTAACAGATCCTAAACCCTAGACCCTAAAGGAAATCAATGAGAATGCTGGGAGCAGACCTTTCCTCACTGGGCCTAGCCTCTTCTTAAACTAATCCCTGCCCAAGGCTTCCTTTGCCAGGACTCAAAGATCATGATGCTAATTAGTGGGTCTGAGGCTATGTTTGCTAAGCAGGAATGATGGCTGATACAGGTTTGGTGTTAATGAGCTGAAAGAGGTTACTATGATATATTGCTGAGGATACGGTTTCCATGTATGGCAAGGTTGCCATTGTGCGCTGTATATAGCCATACCACAATTAGCATCTAACCATTATTGCGCGTGGGCAGTACCCAAGGTTTAGATTTAGGGTTTAGGGCATAGGTTGCTTGTCGGGCGCAGTATCCTGTAGCACTCACGGCTCGGCCTACGCACTTCCAATAAGGCTCCCACATATCTTGTACTACATTTATAGGCGGAATATACGAGGATGACATCAACCATTTCGATTCTGCAAATTTTGCACCTGACCTAACCCAAAATCTCTCCTAAACAAACACAGCCCCATGAACCCTTTCATGAACCCCAAACCCGTTGGGCCTCGATCTTCACGACTTTGTCCCGCTTTGTCTTCATCACTTCTAAGTTCTCCTCGGGCGCGTACTCAGGGTCTACGAACGATATTCCGATGACTAAGTGGCAACCGTAAACCCTAAACCCTAAACCAATGCGGCCATCTTAACACTTGTACTTTAACTGCATGGTGGGGCTTGGTGATTCACACGCCTCTGGTGCCAAATTCTCATTCCCTCCTGCCAGGAGGGTCTCTGACGAAAAAAAACTATCCTGCTTAATACCCCCTCTCATACTCCCCTGTATAATCCCCTAAAAAACTCCCTTGAAGGAATTTAGACCCTAAACCCTAAATCCTAAAGCCTGTATAATCCGCTTCGAGGAGTTTAGACTATAGCTCACACAGACTGGGCGGGCGAGATCGTCCAAATTGGGGGGTACCTGTTTGGATCACCTTAATACAACAGCCCGAATGATACTAGCAAGCTGAAAATCAGTTTTGACAGTTTACGTTTCTGGGGTTTTCTAGAACTTAGAGGACCCTTCGTGGAAGTCCCTACAACATGGAATATAATACATTTGGATCCGTTTTGGGTTTGCCCTCTCTACGAGGGCTACCACATGAAAAGGAACGCTCATACCATGCAATCCCAAGCAAACCCTGAAAGACAAACCACCTTTATTCAAGAAAATACTCTCAGGTACAGCCATCCCTATGATGAATCAGGTATCTTCCTTGGTTAAGTTGCCTTGGGCTGCCCGAGTTAGCCCTAAACGCAAGACCCATAGCCTAGGTGGAGCTCCGTCCCTGTAATAATATAATGGACACACAAGAGGACCCTATAATAATCACCGTTATCCGCCATGGTCACTATTACTCAGTGGGGGGGGGCATCTCTAAACCTTAAGCCCTCAACCCTTAGCCCTACACCGGTCTGGGGCTTCCCGAGCTAGCCCTGAACACAACCTAAATCCCAGAAGAATGTAGAATACTGGTCTTCTTGGCTGTTTCTGGGCTATTATTTTACCTACCTTTGGGGTTCAGGAAGACCTGACAAACAATTCCAGGCTCCACGATAGCTTCTCGAAAGTCTGCGTCGTCTTCCTTCTCCAACTCCTCCTGTTCTCGCGGCGTCTCGAAATTAAAGGGAAGAAAATGGGAACCCCCCAAAACAGGGAAACCCAAGAATCTAGTAGAAATATAATTGGAATATAAGGACCCTGGTAGGTATCTTCCTGTTCTACTCCTACTACATTTTTGGGGTTCCCTGTTTCGGGTTGCCATTTTACAACTGAAACTGGGAAATCCAACAACCGCAAAACCCTCAGCTGAGAGTCTTCTCAAAACAGTTTGCCAAACTATCCTGAATAAGGACCCCCCGCATAAACCCCCTTTTAACGCATCCCTCACGTCCTAAGGGCTCCCCTTACTGAGAAACTCCATGCCAAGACCCTCCTAGGCCCTAGTAGACGGTAGGTGGAGGGTCTAGGTGAACCCTAACTCACAAATCCCTGAATCCACGGGTCCTTCAACTCGCAGTTCGAACGCTCGAGATGTTGGATGCAGTGCTTCTCGTAATCCTGCAATCCCGGCAGAGGGTGGCGGGCCCCCAGACCCTAAGGAGCCAGGCTTAAGAGTCATATTCTTCCCCAGAACCTGTACTACAAGCCAATACTAGCACCGCAACCCCCTAGGTGCCCAATTATTGGACACCTGGATCCTTAAGCATATGCGCTATAGTCTAAACTCCTAGTATCCCCCTTAAGAAGCCCTATAGTAGTCCCCTACATAATCCCCTATGTAACCCCCTTTAAGGAGTTTGGACTATAGCTCATATGGAATTCCTTGGATCTTTGGTGCGCAAGGACTTCATGGTCTTCCAGGTGGGTTAGACGTTCACCAAACAGTGGCACAGATGCAGACAACAGCTGCAGAAAAGGCATGCTGCAGGTCAAGCACTCGAACCCGGTCTTTACCCGCGGATTCTGGTTCCAAACCTTTATAATGAGGACCCTGTAGGAATCATATGATAGGTTGGTGCTGGGGTGAATCGCCTTACTGGTGCCAGCAACAACGAGTTTTCCGCCTGGTTTGAGCATGCTGGGGGATTAGCCTCTCGTGTCAATACGGCATGTTTGGGTCAATCTCCCCTAAACCCTAAACCCTAAACCCCTAAACCTAAACCCGAAATGCCTAAACCCTTGACCGCTATGAACCTCGTAGGCGATGTGTTTTCATGGTAGCTTTGGCCTTTTCACACTTCATGCCCTGGTGCGGAGCTTGAGCTTGAACCATACATACAACCCCTAAACCCTTATAGTCCCCCTTAAGTGGCTTTGGGGTATATCATAATAAGATCCCCATATAACCCAAATTCTATCTACCTAAGGGGGGGGGCTATAACCCTCACAGCTTTGGTCCCCGTCCTCTGTTTGCAACTGAGCCCCAACAAGCACTAAGCAATATGACGGTTTTCATTTTCTTGCCCCTTCCCCTGCCAACCAACCAAGCAATATCTCAGAATTGGTTTTGGGCAGCTGAGCGTCCGCCATTGCTCGAAGCTCCTGCGGAGTGGGCTTCTGGTTTGACAACCCCCTTTAACTTGCAGTTGAGGGTTTGCACTGTAGGGTGTGTCCATTCTCCAGAAATAAAAGCCCGTGCCCCAAACTGACATGGAACCCCCACAGAGCCCGCTTTCACTTGGACAATCGCCGGTATAGGGCCCCTTTACCTGAAGCAATCACCCCCTACGGCAATGAAGTTCCAATCCCCTAATGACGAATATTCTAAGCTTTTTGAGCCCATGCTGAGCTGGAAGCGTGTAATTAGTAAACAGAACATACAAAGTGCAGGCATGTCCCGACTTTCCTCGCTTTGAGGCTGTGTCTGGGAACGGTTACTGGGATCTAAACTTTGCGACGGGGCCATGGTTGGGAGCAAATACATGAAGCATACGTTCTTGTCAGCACATCAAAAGACAGTTGTCCTAACCAGAAATTCACAAATGCCCGCTTGCCGATCTCTCTTCTTCTTGCTCTGCGACAGGCTTCGTGCCCCTCATGCGGAGAGGTACAGAGGCACAGCCCTGATCCCACAAGTGTCCGTGTGATCCCCGTCAAACAGCAAAGGCCCGGGTAACATTTAGTACAAAGGCTAGCCATCGTGCAATATAACCACGATCCAGTACACTGTTTGTGCTGTTCTTCGCGTATCGGGGTCCCCTATGTCAATCTGTTGAGAGGAGGGCCTGCTTTGCCAACTCCACCTCACGGGTATGGGGCTTCAGATCACAAATCAGTGCTGCACAAGCTTTCCCGCCAACGTCCCTGATGTCAACTATGGCGGCGATTGTCGTTTTTACCCTCTGCAGTCCTGCATGATGTGTGAGAGTTGCACAGTTGAATTGAGAAACAGAGAGATTCGTCGTGGAGAGCAGAGCTGTGGATCGAGGGGAAGCGGGATCACTCCTGCACTGCATCGGCGCTTAAAGCCCTGAAGTGTTCATAGCTTGCTGTCGGTGCCTCAGCCAAACCATATGGCCCCTATGGCCCACAAAGCCCCAAGTGTGTAACATTTTTGAACTTTTACAGCCTGACGTCGGCAAAATTTAATGCCTTGAGACTGCCAGGGCAAGTGTTTTCTGCCTCGGCTCGCGTTGCCCCGTAGTGATCAGGGTTCGTAAGGTCCGTGACGAAGTTTGCATGTGGATGCCCCTTCTGAATGAGATTACTGAAGCTGAAGCTCTGAGAAGGCAGACTTTGTGTCCCAACGTTGTGATAGGACCGGGCGGATACGTTGCTAGACCAAAACTCGAGCGAGGACTCTTCAAGGAAGTGGCTTGGGAAGATCTGCAGTTAAGATCGCCGCACACGTTAATAGGGCAGGGTTGGGCCAAAATGAGCAGAGATGCCGAGATCCCGCTTCTGCCGTGTGCTATATGCACTCCGCGGATCTCTCTCCTCTCCCCCTCCCTCCTTTTGCACATGTATATATGTATATATATAGATATATACATAGCTATATATATATATATGTATACAATGTACACACAAGCGTTTATCCATGTATGTGCGCGCGCGTCGGCTGCGTCTTAGCGCATCCACAAAGTAATCGGCACCAAATGCAAGGCACCACCCGCGAAGCCCCTATGCGGGGAATCTATTGAGGCTCAATGGGGATCAATTGGGACGATATAGAGGGTCCGGCTATGTAGAGGTCACGTGATTAGGGCTTACATGGAAAGCGTAGCCACCTCAGGTCCTGCACATCATCTGGTAGGCCGTCATCCGTCTTTATCGGTTCTAGTCGTGCGTGGATGCCACGCTTCGGGATGTGGATCTGCCGCGAACGAAGGGTTGGGACTGGGTTTGTGTTTCGGGCCTTTACAGTAACCTTAGGGTCGTTTCAGCGCCAAAGGGGCGGTGCCAAGAAAAAATATTGTTTGAAACTGCTTCCTGTCCCCTATAGAATCTACTAAAATGAACAGCCGGTGACTCACGCCATGGGCCTAATCTTCCTTTTGCGTAGGCTTTTGAGCTTCGCGGCTTGGGGGCATACGGAAGTACGAGGTGCAAAAAATCTCTGGATCCTGAGCTTTTGCTCTCTAGCATGGAATGTGCTAAACCACTCCAGCACTGCCCAATAAACACCTAAGATCTGGAGGGCTTGGTGGATTATCGGATTTGGTGACTTTCCCCTTCAATTTTCGCATAAAGACACAGAACTCGGAGCCTCATATGCAGACCGTAAGGGTTTTTTTTGGGGGGGGCGCCGACTTGCACAATCCCACAGGGGCCACTTTCCGAGTTAACACATGGACCTGATGCTCGTAAGCATCCACGCAAGCCTCGGAGAGCCTATGGTAGGCTTTCCAACCACCCGACAGGACACTGAAACAAAGGACCTTGTGCAGAACCTTACTCTGACGCCAGTGCCACCAAACATCCCATGGGATGTCGGAGAGTATCAGGTCCATGAAAGACAATGTACCGTACCACACAACTGCAAGTCTGGTAAACATCCTAAATCCTAAGCCCTAAACCCTAAACCCTAAACCCTAAATCCTAAGCCCTAATCTGGGATCTCTGAGACCTCTTCCTCATCCCTATCCTACGCTCTCCAATGACTGATCCCTAAACCCTTAACCCTAAACCCTCATATAATTCTTCATACCAGAACATTGAAAAATAGGCTTGCTTCAAGAATTCCTAACTTTCAGACGGCTCACCAGGGCTGTTCGGCTCATTAAGGCCCTGGTCTGTCGGTCTGTTTGCTCACGGCTGACCGAAATGTCCCCAAATCCTATCTAAACCTCAAACCCTAAGGATTTAGGGGTTTAGGGTAAACCCAAGCCCACAAGTCCTCGACTCCAAGCCCTCACTCCCAAACAGTGTCCCATGGCCTCCACCATAATAGCAGACGATGGGCTCTTTTGTCAAAGAAAACAAGCTGAAACTCCCAAATCCACCAAGTAATGTAGAAGCCTGCATACTTAGAATAGGGATTAGCGGTATCTTACGGGATAGTTGCCCCAGGATTATGAAGGCATTAATTACATTAGAAATTATTCAGGCGTCTACAGTGAGAGCAATGCAACTATGCAAATTTGCTGCATGATGCATTCTATGCCGGCCCAGAAGCATACAATAACTCTATGTGGCCAATGCGTGTGGCCACACCCAGCGCGAGAGTCTGTTTCAACATCTGAACCGTTATGACGAGTTCAGCTGAAATCCAAGGTTGTTGCTGGTGTTTCCTGCGTGCAACTGCTTGATTCCGACATGAAGCCGTGAACTGTGGACCCTGGTAAGCCCGCACGGCAGAAAAGGCCCTGAGCCAAAAGCTGCATCACACATGCAGCGTGCAGAGGGTTGAGGTTGACGTTTTATGAAGGTTTGCTGGCCTTGGGGATGCGGGCTTGTTTAGATGTTCATTTTGATTCTGAGGTTGTTGGCGAGCACACACCCACACAGTGCTCTTCTCTGGCTATACTCAATCAAACCCAGTAAGCGTCCTTGTTTCAGGGTTTGAGACATGAAGTACTCTGCATTTCGGGCATTCTGGACTGGAGTTTGATGCAAATCAAAGTAAGCTGCCGGCTGATGTTGATGACACAGGCAGGAGACCCTGGACTCTGGGCGGCCTCGCCAGGTGTCAGGGCTCTGATCCAGCACTGTGCTTCAGCAAGTAAGAACAGTCAGAGAAAACTCCACTAGCCTGCCACATCCTCGTAGTTGCACCTATATCACATGCACCCTGCATACGTGCTAGGTACTTCTGAGGGCAAGCCTCAGCAACTCTGAGAATTCGCACTATCTATGCTACCTGCCAGTGCGGACATGTCAGATCACTCCAGCGCACAGCGGCCTGCTGACCAAACAAGTCAAGCTAGTACGCGATAGCGGCTACAGGGGCGCACGGAAGAATCTAGAACAGCAATGCCCAGAATTCTGTCATAGTACTGTAGCTCCAATCACACCTGTCCTCTCGGTGTATTTGAGTCGGGCTTCTCGGATCCAGACTAGCCCTGTGAACCTCAAAGCCCTAGAACATACCACCAGTACCCTTGCACCCCATGCACCCCAATAACCATGTGAACCCCAAGCCCCTAAACCTCAACCCTGCACCCGAAGCCCATAAACGCCCTCAACCTAAGCCTGTTTGACACCTAAGCCTCTGTCTAAACTCTGAACCTGGAGCTCAACGTGTATTTCCAAAAAGGAGTGTCACCCTACATCCCCGCAAAAAGAACCCAATTCTGGGCACCCCTAAAACCCTAAACTCGAAGAGGGGAACGCGTAATGTCTGGAAACGCCACCTGGCCTCCAGCATGGGCAAGCACAGCTTCGTGAGGTGGAAGGGTGATGTGACCTTAGCCCTTATTCGCCTGGGAGCGGGTTCAGGGTGTGTAGGCTTTGAGAGTTTAGGGTTCAGATTTAGGGTGTGGGCATGGGATGGGGTGTACGGTATACAGCCTTACATACAGAAACCCATAGCACTTAAAGTAGAAAAGGCCACCTAACATGGAACCAGCGCATCCAACATGGATCCAGCGACATTGATCCGAAGAATCTCGTCAAAGCCCTTCCTTGGCTGTGGTTTTAGAGGCTTTGGGCTTATGCCGGAAGACAACAACCCCCACAGAACATGCAGCATCCACACAGAGATTTGGACGTAGGGCTTCGCTTTCAAAGGGTTTAGGGTTAGTGTGCAAAGTCCAGGCTTCGGGATGAAGGTTTCGACGTTCGGGGTTGCGAGTTGGAGGCTAAGGAGATGCCATCCACTTTTGCCGGGGTGGTTCTGACAGCACGGACCTCTTTTGAATATACGAATCCCGGGTCTGAATTATGTTAAGTGCTCCTCCACACTCAACCAAGCCTCTTGCAGGAGGTGAAGTCTGCATGTCTTCTTCTAGGTGTCCTGACGACTTGAAATGTTCAGCCCTGCATGTCAAAACAAACTTAAACCATGACTCCAGCGAGTTCGCCTGGTTGCCATGTCCGGGAAGCGGAATGGGGAGCTTCAGAATGGACCCGGAAACTTACCATCCCTTTGGCCAACTGACGCTTTGCAACCATCTTGTCTTTGCAAAATCTGTAGTCTGAGAGGTGCTGAAATATGAAAAGGATTCGAAAAACAAAGCCTGGTACCCTAAACCTAGGCAAAACGCGGTCTTGGGAAGGTACCATCTCAGAAACTACCATTTGCAGGCGCGGGGCGGCACATCAAAATTCTCGAATGGCTCCCCCCAGGCCTGCACTGGGGATGGTTCAGGGTTTTTAAGGTTTAGGGTTTAGATTTGTTTAAGGTTTATAGGGTTTTTGTTGAAGGTTTGGGGTGTAAGGTTATCTTAAAAAAAAACCGCGCCTTCGCACCTTTTATCCAGGGCTTATAGGGCTTAGGGTCATTGACACGTCTCTGACCAATACCCCCAAAATGAGGTCCCTGCAGATATACTAGACTAGGACCAAATCCGGGGGGTTGGGGCTACCAAATCCTCTTTATTATCAATTACAAACAAGTTTGAAGATATGGCTTCCGCTAGCAAGTACATTTGGACTTTTCTTGTCTACGTACCTTGCACATTGTTTTGGAACAGGGCAGCCGAAGCACATAACAAGGCCCATGCAGACTCCGATATGTGGCGGGTTCTGAAACCCAGATATCCAAATGCAGAGTTCCTGATACATCCCACAGCAGGGAGAACTTCATATTTCAAAGTCTGCTACGCACTGAACCCGAAACAGAGATAAACCCCTATCACACTCCTGGCCTTGCCGCTGTTGTTGACCAGCGCATGCAACTTGCCTGCGTTTAGCTTTTTCGTTGCAATAGCGTGGCTCGGGGTCAGCGACCAGAACCGAACATCCCAAGTCAAAGTTGTTGCGGATTCCGCTTAAGGGGGGCTAGGGGAACCAGGATTGCATAGCAGGCAGACAGGACCAAACCCCCAAAATGGTACCCCTAACTTCGGGGAAACCCCCATATAGGCATTCTCAGGATGTTGGGTTCTGCGTTGGGGGCTCGTGTTTGCCAAACTCACATGTTGAGACATGCGCAAAATATGTGTGTGTATATATATATATAAACACTCAATGCTTGGTTATTTGGCGAGTTGCACTGACTTTCGTAGGGCTGCATACAGGGTTATATGACGGATATGATTGAAAATCGATCGCATGGAGCCTGGCGGGGTGGTACTTCTGGCGAAATGAGAACTTGGTTGTATTCCCCTAGGGCTCCCAGTTACCTAAATAGTGGGTTACTGGGCTGTGTAACTATAGGGTATATAGAACCCAGTTCCCATTCTTTAGGTAACTGGAGCCCTAGGGTTCAGTATTGTGCAAAGAGTGGCCATTCTCGCTGGCGATTCTTTCCAAGGCCATACTTGCATGCTCAGCATGAAAGCGACTGTAATCAAGATGACCGCTCAGGTAAGTGTAGGGCAGGGTTACGCGAGATGTCGAAGCATGTTCACGGCAAACTCAGCACGACCCTACATGAACCCGAAGCCCAAGAAATTCCGGCAGTGATATAGGTTAGTACCAGCAGGATTCCAGAATCATACCAAGCCTCTCCTGCCAAATGCAATAGTGCCCTCCCATCAGAAAACAACACAAGCAGAAACACGCTATCATAGTCATAGACATTCCCATGTTTTGCAACATTTATTGCTAGGGGTCTACGGTTGTGTGGGTTTACAACCTAACCAAAACCCGACCATCAATCCTCCAGTAAGCTCCTGGACACGCTTGGCCAAGGCCTCCCGGATCTCTTTTTTGGAATAGTAAGGATCATAGTAGGTTTTAGGGTTTGGGTTTTGGGGGGTTGGGGTATATTGAGGTCTATATTAAGGGTCCCCCTATTTTGGGAAACTATGATCTAAACTCCTTATTTAGCCCCTTCAGATTGAGCAACGTATTCCAACGCTAGGGGGCAGGGAGGGAGTCTAGTTGAAGCGGTTAGGGCTAAGTGGTCTGAGGCACTTCGTCGCGAATACCGTTTAGAGCGTACGGTAGGAACTCAAAAAAACTTGCGCAATGAAGAGGGCTTTGAGGAAAATCTGATACCTAAACCCCCAAAGTATGTAAAATAATGGCCCTAAACCCATAATAATAGCCATAAAGGCAATTATTTTACATACTTTTGGGGTCCAGGTATCAGCATGATTAGCCAGAGCACTCGCAGAAGAAGCCAGCCCTTCACATCTGCAGATCATTACCACAACAGGCATAGCCTCTGCTGTTGCCTTTATTACAAACACCTTAAAGCAAATATGAAAAAACCAAAGAACAACACAGTGCAGAACTCCTATGGTCTCTAAACTCTGATGTTGTGCTTCGGGCATGCTTTCCCAATGGTCTTCTGAAGCCTCAAGTCCTTTATGTTGGGATATGTTGGGATAGCTTGAAGCCGGGCTGTCTACAGAGCCCTGCTCTCTGTTCTCCTACGCCTCAAACCCTGAATCTTCAAAACCCAAAGGGAAGCCACTCGTCGGAGTCTTCCCTTGGCTGCTTTGGGTTTAAGGTCTAGGATTCAGGGTTTAGGGGCTAAGGGTTTACGGGCCATCCACCCTACTGCAACGTCTGTATCCTGCTCTAACTATATGAACGTCGGGCTCCGAACTCTAACTTCGCCCCTGCCAAACATCAACGAATTCGTCTGGAGATCCTATACAGCCTATACAATCACCTGCGAATATCAATGAGCTGTCTGGAAACCTTTGCACGAGCATGTGCAGCGCACTGGACCCCCTAGTAAACCCCCTAAGCCTAGACGGCCTCAATTCCAGCCGATGTGGCCAGATCACTTCCGAAGGCTACGCACTTTCCCTTGCCAAGGGCATTGAGACCTCAGCCAGTCCCTTGACCCAGAAGATTTTCAGTGTGATCGCCCCGCTATGTAATGGTATGGCATTGGAAGTACTTGCTGTTAAGGTGGGGGGGCGGAGGGGTGCGATTGGCGGCTATTTTATGGGTGGTGGGGACTACCTAGGGCTAAGGAGTTAGAAGGATTTACGGCATAGGGCCGAGCATTGGGCAATTTGCAGCGTCGTTCGACGTTCCCCTTCCCTGGGAAGGTTCCAAGACGTTCTGCGTTTGCTTTGTTACTCGCTGCTGCCAGGCGAGTCGGATTGAATGATTAACCCTCACTCCTGGAGGCTAATCTATGCGAATTTCACATTTAGGAGTCGGTAAGATTGCAGTATGTTCGCCATAGATCTTCTTGTGTAGCTTCACCAAATTTCACTCCGGCCTTCAGCAAATCATGTGAATCTAAGCTAGAGCTTCATTCAGATGGCTGCCAAGGCCCATCAAGAGCACGCACTACATACCAAGCCCTGAAGATCCCTGAACTATGCCTCACAAAAGCTTCTCCCAAAAAATCCAGGCAGCTATATAGTATACATTCAGGTCCCAAAAGGGTTCCCATATAACTCATACAACTATCTTAGGGCCCAAGTATATACTATCTGGCTACATGGACCCTTTGGGTCTTAAGTCCAACCAAACCCGAAAACTTCAACCAGCAAGCTGCCAGCCTTCAACTTTCAGAACCTTGACGCCTTGGGCAAGTGGCAGCCCTCACGCCTGCAAGTTTTAGCTAGCAGACTCAATGGCATCCTAATTTTCCGACGTATAACCTCCCTCCCTTTCCCCCCTCCCTGTCCCTATGCTGTCCATGCCTGTGTGCTTTCATACCGCAGGCTCCCAATAACTCTTACCTTAAGACTTCAGGGTCCAAAGTAGGGATTATGCATAAGCCGAAGCATTAACAAGCTTTGACAGCCCCCCGAGCAATATGTCTTAGCTTAAAAAGCCTTCAAGCCCCAAAACCTAAACCTTTTACCTTGCCCCCCTCACCCAGAACCCTACCCTCCTGACGCTTTACTTACTGGTATCCTACACACAGAACCCGACATCACACCCCTCACTCAGAACCTTGGCCCGAACCCTTTGCCGGACACCCTTAGCTTCCGCGCTGTCTCGGCCCTGGACGCGCAGCAGTCGCCTCGCACTGCTTCGCATCTCTGGAGCTGATAATGACAAAGCACTGGTTGACCACGAGGCCTGCGGTAAGTTGCTAGGGGGCTTGGGGAACGAATTTTTGCCAAGGGCATAGCTGGCTTGAGGCTGGTTCTTGTTTAGGTGTAAAGGCTGGGCTATGGTGCATACTCAGGGTCCAAGACATCTGGCGATCTTGTCTGGCGTAAAACAGGAATAGGACATGACAAGCAGGTAAGGCAGCGTCCACGATGTTGGAGTGAGGTACGTCTAAGGTTTTAGATTTGATCTGTTGGCTCTTTTTTGGGTGAGTTCGCTGTCCAGCACTTATCACCAAGATCGAAGGAAATCTTGTTATGAGGATACCCGCACAGGCATGTGTGCTGGGCGCATTCTCGTCCCCCACGTGCCCTGGATCAGACCGTGGCACTCTAGCTAAATTAGGGGGCCCCATAAACCCCACGTATTATGATCTTTATTACAGGGGTCCCCAACAAGGTGCTCGTAATTTCGGGAAACCCCATGTTGTGTTCTCAGCCTTCATGTTGGGGCCTTAAGGACCTTGATTGGAAATGACTGAAAGCTGAACCCTGAAATAAACATACACCCCCCCCCCAGTATCCAGCCTAGTTGCTATAGATACTATAGGGCCTATAGGGGATGGCAGTGACCATAGTTCCCAAACTCTATCAACCCTGCATCTGTTCATGCATCTGCAAGCCCTAGGCCTAGACACAACCTCAGGCAGCAATTAAGCCCTAAACCCTAAACCCTAAACTGGGTTGCTGTTAAGGAACTTAATTTAAGTTACTATATTGGGGGAACCATATTAATTACTATATATTCCCATTATGGTAACTTAATTTAAGTTCCTTAACAGCAACCCAGATTAAACCCTAAAACCTAAACCCAATTAGACTTCAAACATGTCCTCGAAATTCAGGAGCCTTGGGCTGGACAGACTCTTCAAGAAAATTCCAAAACCGTCAGCACGGTTCATCTTCTAGACATCCCTAGAAATCCAAGTATGCAAGTAAGAATTACATCGGGCTGAATATGTGAATCTCTCCTGCATCGGGCTATTTGAATCCCAAGCACATGTTCTAGTAGACCTAAGCATCTCGCTTTTGAATTAGCGCATGTTTGGCCTTCCGCGATCATCTCGCCGATGCCTCGGCCGCCCCCGGTGACCAGGACATTCTTGCCAGCCTCTGCTGTCTAACAGTTTAAGGCTTTGCCTGCTGAACTATGAGAGGTTCTTCGACGCCGTCAAAATGGGTACTACATTGGAAATCTGGGGAAGTCACATTCATCGTAACAGTCGGGGGCTACGAAGCTTGATTGGAACACAAGTGTTTTCCTGGTGCCCACAGGTTTAGACTGAACCTAAGTTCTGCCCCTAGAACCTGCAGTCAAAGCTCCAGTCTAAAGATCTTAAGCTGAAACCCTTGACACTCAAATGCCCGCCTCCTGCCCAGGGCCCCTGACTCCGAAAAAGCCTCAAACTCCTCAGGTTGCAGCAGCCTACAAGAGAATGAATCTTTCACGAGTCCAAAGCTGCAAGCCGCAAACGGCTTCTTGCAGAAAGCGGACCGCTCTGGATACCCCTTACCCCGCAACCTCATAAGGGAGTTGGGAGACATTGTAGGTACTAGTATATAACGACTCCTACACTCCTTCTCAGGCACCAGCAGGCTAAGGGACGAATAGCTTTGAGATCTCAAGCTGTTAGTAAAGGGACCCTAATGGGAACCCCAAACAAGGAACCTCAAGAATATAGTAGGAATTTAATGGAATATAAGGACCCTGGTAGGTATATTCCTATTATATTCCTACTATATTCTTGGGGTTCCCTGTTTGGGGTTCCCATTAGGGTCCCTTTAGTTAGCTCCCCGCTTTGGCCTCTCAATGATGGGGCCTCCAAGACAACATCTATGCTCTTCACGGGCCCTACACCCCGCAAACCCTGAACCCTAAACCCCTAAACCCCTAGACCCAAATCCCCCCATTGCTAGCTGCAGAGGTGTGGCTACTCCGAAGAGGTCGGAGAGCTCCATGGCCAAGTTCAGGTTTAATCCCGCCCGACTACAAGAGGGCCAACTGCTGAGGCAGCTCAGAACTCAAGGACTAGCAGTGTTTATAAGGTTTAGAATTTAGGATTCAGGGCGATGCGCTACATACATATACATTTTTGTATATAACAGGCGCCTGAAGAATTACCAGCATCATCTTGAGGTCTGTTTGAGGTACCCTACTTAAAATTATAGAAGGAGCCGAGTCTGGCAATTGTTCAGATTGCTGTAGCAAAAGGAACCCATGAGCAAGTAATTGGTAGTTTCCACGCATGAAGGGACCATATGGAACCCAATGCCGTTCTGTACTCCTAACCTTGTGGACCACCCCCCCAAAAAAAACACTTTCCATGATCTCCAATAAACATTCTCGGGGCTCAGGCTGTACAAGAGCATTGTACTCCCCTCCCCCTGTTATTAAACCCCCCATCCACCCTAATATTAAATACTCCCATTATGTGGTATATTGTAATATATAGAACGTATTCAATATCAGGGGGTGGGGGAGTAAATATTAGGGGAGGGGATTACTTCATCAAGCCCAGGGAATGCCAAATGGCATCCGCAGCAAGATACGTGGACCCTCCAACCTGGCAAGAAGACTGTAGGGCTGTATAGGGTTTTTAGGGTTTAAGGCTAGAACAGGGCATATACTAATGACAGTAACAGGGTGTAGGGTGTTAGGACCTACCCTCCTCCAAACAAACATGGAGCGCGATAAGAAGCTCACTGTAGGCACTCTTCAAGACTGGCAGGTTTTTGGTTGAAATAGACTAACTTAGTGCCCTCTCGAAGACAGCGAAACCTCCACAACTCTCATAGCAAACAGCGCGCTCATTCTACCATGGTACTAAATTGGGAATTTGTTTGTCATTCGAGGAGGGCGGGCTATTGATGTGGGGATGGGATTATGTTGGAGGGTCCTGGCAAGCTAAGCAAAACCAGCCGGCAGCGATATGTACAGCTAGGAGTGCCGGAAACGCCGCCGAATTACAGGGGCATGCGCGCCCAAAGAAAAGCACCCAGCACACCATCTACCTTGAAATGCTCTCATGTAGAGGGAGGGCTAACTACCAACAAATTGGCTAACGACCCTCATATTATTTGCAGGGTGACATACCCCAATGTTCTATTGGCTTAGCCCCCTACATTAGGTTCTTTAGCTATTATGATATGACTTCGGGAAGCCAACAAGCTGGAACATGACTGTCGCGGAAGCCCTTTCTTCCGGCGTTCCATCACCAAACGCCATCTGTCCTGGAGCAGTTGGCCAAAAATCTAAACCCTGCAAACCCCTGACATGTTCCAGCGTCTTGGTCGTTGCTGCAATGGGTGTGTGGGTCTTCCGGGCCATGATACAGCTCAGCTGTAAAGGCTAGGAGTAAAATGGGAACCGCAGGAAACCCGAAGAATATAGCAGGAATCGAAGGACCCTGGCTGGAGTGCCCCTACTACATTCCTACTAAATTCTTGGGGTTCCCTGTTTTGGGGTTCCCATTAAAGTCCTTTTCAATGCAGTGCTCTGGAAGGAAATCTCAGGGCAGATTCATTGCAGGGTTTAGGGTTTGGAGAATCTGCCAGGACGCCAATTCCAGATCCAAATCTCGGAGTCTGCGCCTGTCCTGGCTGAAACATCGCCTTACTCCAATATATAAGACAGACATACCTCCCCCTCAACAGTGAAGATGCAGCTCTGTCGGGTAGTTTCCACAACCAGGGGGATAGCCTCCAAAATATCATTATGCTCATCATGGAGACCCTAAGAAAGGGAGCCTTGGTCTCCGGAACCCCATAAATATTGAGGCTTTTACATGGAAGCATCTGGCAATGCTTGTGGGAAAGGCATCTTTGAACTACAGCTGAACAACATTGCAATTCCAGGCCACGCTGCTCCGAAGAGACTGCTGCGCACCATGACATCTCAGACTTGCAGGGTAGTGAACCCCAGCTATATCTGGGGGGTCTCCATCGGGGGTCCTAATTGAGCAGACTTTCGGCGGGAGCACGCCAGCCATGTGTGGATTTCAATCCGGGGCTACTTCTGCAAACCTGCACATGCTTCAGGGTCTATGGCTCAAAACAGCTTGCAACGGATACGTGCTGTTTACGGAGCCTGTAGGTCATGCGACTGGCATCTGTACACTTGCCCTAAACCCTCATGTACACCTATATATGAACCTGTAGGCTTGTAAGCCTACTTGCTGCTTTTATACCTGGGGAACACCACCCTGGTATGGTGCTGGGGGCCTTGCGGTGGGTTCTGTCTCAACTGAAGATCCAAGCTCAGAGGAAAGCAGGTTATCCATGTCGGAGAACTGAGTCAATGGTATACATGAGCAAGGAGTGGCGCAACTGAAACGTGATGTTTGCACCAGGATTCTACCAGGATGGAGCATACGCAATGCATCTAGTTAAGTAAGAAAATTACCGCTGATACATTATCAATAAATGGCAGATACTTAACATTCATGATCGCTACTTCCTTAGTTTTCATCGAAATCATGAACGATGATGGCACAGTTTCTCTCTTGAGACATGCCCCAAGCGCATCAAAATGAAGGGCATGCCATGTTCAAGCCACAGGCACGCTAAAATTTCAAGAGGTAAACAGATCTAAGTGAATTGTGCAAACATGCCATCACCTTTCCCGCAAGAGCTTTGTCAGAAAACACGCAGCTCCAGAACTTGTGAAGGTATCTGTGATAATGGCGACCGAATAGTCAATGCCAAGGAGCTGTAATTGAAAGTAATCGGAACTATGTGACACTTTGGACTCCACTAAGGGCTAACCATTTAAAAGTACTTATAAGAGGAGTATAAGGGATTCCCAAAAGGTTAAGGGTAGAAGGTCCAAGCTAAGGCGCAAGGAGGGAAGGAAGTTCTCAGGGGCCTGTAGAACAGGAACTGGGGTGCTCGCACCATTATTCAGTACAGTTCTTTTTCAAAAGCCATTTGCGAGCACTTCAAAATCTTTACATGATCATACATAAGCTCTAAATTAAGGCATGTTCCGTGTCATCTTGCATGTCCTTTTCCATGTGATTCTCCGGCAGGAATAACGTGAAACCCTATTGAGTTCCCCGAAAGCAGCCCAAGTAGAAAGCCCCACCTTCCGTACACGTTTATGCGGCCCTTAGAACTCCGACGTTTTGAGAAAACCCCCGATTCAACGCAAGGTGATGGTGCTCTGCACAAACCCACTGCCAACCCTCGCGTCACAGACTTTCGCAGTCGAGGGTAACAGGGGAAGTTTGCTGTAAAGGCATGTCTCAATCAACAAGAGTTGAGCTTAGAGTTTTTGGTTTAGGGAGCTTGCATCAACCTCTCTCAACTTTGCATTCCAACACACTGAAGCCGAAGGCTTCTCATGAGACATGCGCAAACCTGTCGAACGGACGTTGCCTCAATCCTCAACAGCGGCAATGTCTGCAAATGTCCCACAGGGACCATAAATCTTGCAATGGGGCAGTGTGATCCCTTTACAATCAGTACGTGGTTCGCTTTTACAGAATATTCTTGCGGGGTTCCCCGCAAGGGGTCCATCATCTCAACAACAACCTGGAAAGTCTAGAATCACACGAAATCCATGCAAATTGAGAGAGCACCTTCGTCATCTGGTTCACATACAATCCTAGAGTGATCGCCACAGATTGGCTCACGAGCGAAACTTCTATGAAGACGAGCTTGCGGTGAGATGCCGCCTAGATCGAGGAGCACCTCGTCATCTCCATAAATCGGCTCGCGATCAACACTTCTACGAAGACTGGCAGGCGGTGAGATGGTTTCCAGATTGACAAGCACCTCGTCATCCCCATAGATTGGGTCACCAGCGGCACTTCTGTGAAGACTTGCAGGTGGTAAGGTGACATCCAAACTCACGGGCATTACCTGGGTTGCTGTTCAGGAACTTAAACTAAGTTACCATAATGGGTATATATAGTAAATAATAGGGTTTCCCCAATATAGTAACTTAATTTAAGTTCCTTAACAGCAACCCAGTTACGTCACCTTCGTCAACTCCATCGAGCAGCTCACGGGCACCGCTCCTCTGAAGATATGCAGGCGATGAGGTGTCCTCGAGATCGGCAAGCTTTTGGCGAGGTGCCCAGTTGCAGTGCAGAAAACTCGGATGGAAAT